TGAGGAGCGATTTCTACAACAACATCAACAACGGCTACGAAGCGATAGTCGAGCTGAGTGGCTTCGCGAAGCGCGCGCCAGCAAGCGATATTCTACATTGCATGTTCAGCAACTAAAATGCAAGGGTGGACAGACCCAGACCACGGCAGACACAACCCAAGCACCCGAATACCATAAATCGGGACATCACCGACCACTCGACCAGCCAGTGGCGCCAGCAGCGGGCCGCCACCGCCGAACTGCCCACTGCCGCCGTTTTGCCCGCCTACCTACCTGACCTGGGACGTCCACGCATTGGCAGACACGAGAGAGTCAACGTGGGATGACCCAGGCAACGCGCGCATATGCCGAGGCTGGAAGACAGCTTTATCCGCAAGCAACATGGACTACTTCTAGGACCTACCTCAGCGACCACTTCATGTGCTTCACACCGATGGCGACACGGGACCTGGGTCAACCGCCTTCACCACCATCCCCGCCAGGGGCACGATCTCCGTCTCCTCGGGCGAGACCCTACTGCGTTCGCATATCCGCACTTGGCAAGGTACCATGACGACAGCGGATTTCGGGACAGCGTCGACCTCCTCAAGGGGAACATTGCTGGCCTGAGCGACAGCGAGATTACGGAGCTCGTGCAATCCGACAGCCCTGGGGGCCAACTCGCGAACCTACTCCTCTCTAAACCGGGCTGTCAATGTCGCAGCCGAGGAAGAGCCGCGGAGCATCATCGCGGAGATCCACGGGGCCCTGCCGCCGCAAACGGCTGCCAAGCATGATGGCCACCGGGCGTCAGCTTCTACGGCGACGCGGACTCCGACCGCAGTGGTGGCGGCGGCCAGCGAAGCGGCCCCCGCTGCTGCGTGCGGGCCGCGCTACAAGGCGCCACCTATCACCGGTGGGCCAGTAAGTTTGCCCAAGCAGCGCAGCGCGTTAACTGGGGGGGACGTTGCCTCGGCCAGCGCCGCGCGGCCTTGCGCGCCCTGCCAGGACGTTCCATCCAAGCCGCCACCCAAGAGGCCGCCGCTGAGCATCAAGCAGCAAATCGCGCCAAGTGGAAGCGGAGGCCGCGCCGAGACAGCTCGCGACAAAATGCCCACAATCAAAGTCATTGCGCTCGCCGGGCCCCGCATGGACATGCTTCGCGAGCAAGCGAGGCCATCGATCGAACAGCCACCGCATGGATGACATCTGGATCCGACCCCAGCGAAATGCGACAATATATGATCGCACGACTGACTAACAACGTCAGCAACTGTACCTACGACCGAAACAGTCAGTTCTAGAAGATGCACGTCCACAAGCTGATTGCAGGCAACTACGTCGTTGGGCGTGGCGATCGCGACGTGCGCATCGAGTGCGACAGGATCACGAGCCATGTCGAAGCGTCGCCCAACTGCGTCCTTAGGTACGAGGGGCTACCGGAAGCGCGCCATTTCGGGATGACACGCAAGCGGGCCGTTTTCGCCCTCGTCGCCTTAAAACAGGCCGCAGCGATTCTGACATGCCAGATCGGCGACCAGTGCGACGATTTTCCGACGTTTTCCAGGGCCGCAGCCTGCTCGTGCGAATTAAATTGGGCATGCGCCACAACCCCGCGTCGCAGCCCGTGCCATTCGACATGGCCAGATTCCGGTGGGATACAGCCGAAACTGCCACCTAGAAGATCAACGTGCTTATCGACGCCCAGGGCTCCGGCGGGGCCGCCGAGTCACCGGGGCGTGAGACTCGGCGACTCGGCGGCCCAGGTGAGGCTCACCTCATCTCGCTCCATCCCAACTATGTTGCCAACACAAGAGCCAATTACGATGCTCATACACGTTGGGGGGGGTATGCGCGGGCTAGAGGATGTTTCAGGCGGTGGGGCAGCCACCATCACCTTGTCCAACATAATCGGCTGCCGCCGCCATCAGGACACTTCGCACTGCCGCGGCCACGTATCAACCCCACTTGGCCCCCCCCTCTCCTTCGTTAAGGAGTGTCCGTTCGTTTCCTTGTCTCCTCTTTCCTGTCTGTTTGTCTGTCTGTCTCTATCGATTCAAAAACTTCTACACGTAAAATTACGTTCGTACCGCTGTCCCCTTGAGCGGTGCTCCAGGCAGTACCTGGCCCTAGTTTGGTCAACGCCCCTCAGGGCCGACATGCCTGAAGGAGGGGGAGGCAACGTCCAGGATAACATTCATGCCACGATGTGCCAGGTGCCAGGAGGAGGATCAGGAGGAGGAAGAGGATGATGATGAGGAACAATCATATTATGAGTAATACGAATCGTATTAAACTTATTGTTATTAAGACTAATACGAACAGTAATATTAAGATCCATACGTTAACACTCGAACAATCATATGATTAGTATTATGTAGTATATGCATAATGCAGATAAGAAGAATGATACGCATAAAACTGGTACGAACATGAATGCTAGTAGTAGTAGTTGAAATGGTAGTAGTAAAACGACTACTAAAACTAGTCAGAGTGAAAACGCTTCTGAGAAGGCAGCAACCCATAATAATAGGAATACGGATGATCACACTGCAGTAACACTATAGCTAGTAGGCGTACTGAAAGTGTTACTAACAATCATATCAAACACAGTAGCACTGCTGCTGCTGCTACTACTACTACTGCTAATCATACTGATAGAACTACTCGTATTGCTAATGATTATAACCGTACTAATAAGCATGTTAATTCTATGGCTAGTAATCATACTAACAGTGGTAGTACTAATACTGATGCCATGGTTAATACTAATCACGCCTGTGCTGATACTAAGCATAACTATAGTACTAACGCGGTAACTATCGATAATATGAGTACTACTACGAATAGTAATGATCATCGTACTCCTAACCGTAAGAATAAGCATAGTCGTAATTCTAATGCTCAGAATAATATTATTGATACTAACAATAAGAGGAGTAGGATGAGGAGGAGGAGGAGGAGGAGCAGGAGGAGCAGGAGGAGAGGAAGGAGGAGGAAGCGGAGGAGGAGGAGGAGGAGGAATAATGATAAACATACACAGAATAATCCCAATAATAAGATATCACTAAGCATACTACGAGTAATACAATTATTTAGTCATTAATAATGGTAACACTATTATTAGTATTACTAGTAGTAGTAAGATGACGGAGGTTAAGACGAATAATAACAATACAACTAAGAATAATACGAATACTAATTCGAGTAATAATATTAATCAGAAGAGTAAGCAGAAACATAATAATGATAGCAACAACAATAATAATATGCACACTAATGCTAATAATCGTAGTAACATTAATAATGTTAGTAATACTAGTACTACGCATACCAATACTAATACTAACCATGCTCGTGATAATATGAAGAAGCACAGTCATAAACATAAGACTAATAAACATGCTACCAATGAAAATATTAAAATACCAATCATAGTAGTAATAGTAATAGTAACAAGAGTAATACTATTAAACATAAGAAGAACCATACTACTAATACGAGTACTAATAATCAGAGTGAGGGGGCTGAACCGAACGGTCATTCACTGTCCCTGGGTGCGTGGCTGAAGTGGAATTCCGCGATGCGGATTCTCGTTGTTGTTTGTTGTTTGTTGTTTGTTGTTGTCGTCGTCCCACCCGCGACCCGCCCCGCGACCCACCCGCGACCCATCCCGCGACCCACCCGCGACCCACCCGCGACCCACCCCGCGACCCACCCGCGACCCACCCCGCGACCCATCCGCGACCCACCCGCGACCCACCCGCGACCCACCCCGCGACCCGCCCGCGACCCACCCCGCGACCCCCCCGGCGACCCATCCGCGAGACCCACCCGCGACCCACCCGCGACCCACCCCGCGACCCACCCACGACCCATCCGCGACCCACCCGCGACCCATCCGCGACCCACCGCGACCCACCCGCGACCTACCTGCTCCACCCCGCGACCCACCCAAAATGTTCGGTGCCTACGGTGGTTTTCTTTTGCATTTGTTCCAGGTGGAGAACTTGCGACCCAAACCGCGTTCAGTGTACAAATCAAAATTTTCGGCGCCTGCGGCGGGCTGTTTTCGAATTCCTTTCAGGCGGAGGTGGGGAGCCCGCGACCCACCCGCGACACAAACTACGTTCACTGAACAAGCCTAAAATTCGGCGCCTGCGGCGGGCTGTTTTTGCATTCGTTCCGGGTGGCCCACCAGCGATCCCCCCCGTGCTGAATTTGTCAGAGCACGCAAATCGGCGCCTGCGGCGGGCTTGCTCGCATTAGTTCTCAAGGAGGAGGACGACGACGGAAAGGAGGGGGGGAGGATCGGGATGGGGGAGGAAGAGGAGGAGAAGTAGGAGGAGTAGGAGGAGGAAAAGGAAGAGGAGGAAGAGGAGGAGGTGAAGGAGGAGGAGGAGGAGGAGGAGGAGGAGGAGGAGGAGGATGAGGCGGACAACGACGACGACGACGACGATGAGGACGAGGACGCGGACGAGGAATAGGAGGAGGAGGAGGAGGAGGAGGAGGAGGAGGAGGAGGAGGAGGAGGGGGAGGAGGAGGGCGCCATCGACAGGGAAGGTGAGGGCCACGAGGTCCGCTGGCTCGACGCCCGCGACGCCCGCGCCCGCCCCCTCACTCCTATCCGCAATTGCGGGGTGCTACGTAATAAGAAGGATAATGATAAGAAGAGGAGGAGGAAAAGGCGGAGGAGGAGGAGGAGGAGGAAGAGGAGGAGGAGGAAAAGGAGGAGGAGGAGACGGAAAAGGAGGAGGAACAGGTCGGGTCGAGTCGAGTCGAGTTGATTCCATGGAGGTCGAATGGCCGCCTCGCAGAAACCTCTGCCGACCGCCTGCCTCTCTGCTGCTGGAATTATGAGTGGCGGAGCCCTGTGCTCGCCTATGCATCTTCAAGCATGCTGCAGGACGAGAGGAGGAGAGAGGAGCAGGAAGTGCGGTCTTCCGACCTGCCAGCCACAGCCATGCCCCGAGTATGGAGCGACACAGGCAACGCCTCCTGGGAGCGCCGGCGGGTGCCAGGCCTCGAGGTGGTCAAGCTGTACGCGCCTGGTGACCTGGCCCTCGTGAGCGGGACGATGCAAGGCATGGTGTGGTCGTCTTCATTGTGGCCGTCGTGGTCGTCGTGGCCGTCGCCGCGGCCCTGGGGGTGGGGCCTGGGATCGAGGAAGAACAAGTTGCATTAACATCAAATTCCAGAACTTTGCGTGGATTTCTTGGATCCGCGCTGGGCCTCCCTGGCGGCGCCTCTGGCGCCGCCCCTGGTGCGCTCCGTGCGCCAGGGAGGGGAGTCCAGTGCCGATCCAAGAAATCCGCGCGGAGCTCCGAAAGTTTCTGTTTACGCAGTTCTTTATTGAATCGCTTCGCTCATTCCGCCGGCCCATAGTGTAGCGTCGCTGGCACTTGCTTGCGTGCTCGGGGGGGCATTTGGGTGGCCTCCTGGGGCCGCTTGGGGGCCTCTTGGGGGCCTCCTGAGGGCCTGTTGGGGGCCTCTTGGGGCCTCTTAGGGGCCTTTTGGGGCCTCCTGGGGACTTCTGAGGGCCGAGGGCTCGAAATATTGTTTCGTGTTCCCCCCCTGGGGTCCCTCTTGGAGCGTTCTTGGGGCCCTCTTGGGCCGTCTTGGAGGCCTCTTGGGCCGTCTCGGAGCCCTCTTGGGCCGTCTTGGGGCCCTCTTGGGGGCCTCTTGGGCCCTCTTGGGGCGGTCTTGGGGGCCTCTTGGGCCGTCTTGGGGTGTCGTGAAGCCGAAAAGGTGGAAACGCCAAAATCTCTCCAAAACCTAAGGAAAAGCAGTGAATTTTGCCTCTTGGGGCCCTCTCGGGAGTGCTCTTGGAGGCCTCTTGGGGCGTCTGGGGGCCATCGTGGGCGTCTTGGAGCGATCTTGTGGCATCTCGGACCCCTCATGTAGCATCTTGGGGGCCTCTTGGAAGCCTCTTGGCCCTTCTTGGGGCTCTCGGGGACGTCTCGGAGCCGCGTTGGTGCGCTGCTGGAGCGCCCTGGTGACTCCTCCCGGGACTCTCTCGGGACCTTGCCGGGGTACTTTCCGCCCGGGGGCCCCCAGGGGCCGCCCCGCGCGCGCGAAGTAGAAAGATTGTAAAGCAGTCACCGGAGATCTTAGCACGCCTCTGGCCCGTTGGGCCGGCGAATTCTTCTGTTTACGCAGTTCTTTATTCTTCCCATGGGAGGGGCAGGGCCCTGTGTGTTTCCGCTGCCCCTCTCTTCCTGGCCCTCTCGTCTCTCCCCTGGTCCCACCGCCGCGGTCCTTGCTGCGGTATGGTTGTGCCCGCTCCGTGCAGAGTTCCGCGGCCTTCGCCCGACAGGAACAGTTGTAACTCTGTTGCGGGAAGACGTGGCGGGGCCGAAGCCGAAAGAGAGAATGACAGCGTCGCGACAGGGGGTTCCAGCGCCGAACCAAGAGCTCCGCGCGGAACTCCAAACGTTTCTGCTTGTGCAGTGTTTCTTCCTCTGTCTGAGGCAAAACCTATTCTGTTGGGGGTGGCTAGGTGGGTCCAGGCCTCCTAAAGTGGGGCCGGAGCAGATAGGATCGGAGGATCGCGCATCGGCGATGCGGCTCGATTTCGAGCCCTGTTTTCTCCACGCCGACGTCGACGATGCATCGCCGATACACCTGCTGTGCATCTGCGGTGCGTTGCGATCCTCTGACCCCGTCTTTTCGAACCCCATTTGGGAGGCCTCTGGGAGTGGGGTGGAGCCCAAATAAGCCAATCACATCGCTGAGTTGTGTAGGTTTGTCAGAAGGTTTCGCCTTCCAGGAAATAGCATGAACTAACCTGGCTCGCTCCTGAGTCCAAGTTTTGGTTATGGTTTCCATGCTCCTCGCACTTCTGCCGTACACTGTCACCAATTCCATTTTACGTAGCACCCCGCAATTGCGGATAGGAGTGAGGGGGCGGGCGCGGGCGTCGCGGGCGTCGAGCCAGCGGACCTCGTGGCCCTCACCTTCCCTGTCGATGGCGCCCTCCTCCTCCTCCTCCTCCTCCTCCTCCTCCTCCTCTTCCTCGTCCTCCTCCTCCTCCTCCTCCTCCTCTTCGTTGTCCGCGTCCTCGTCCTCCTCCTCCTCCTCCTCCACCTCCTCCTCCTCTTCCTCCTTTTCCTTTTCCTCCTCCTCCTCCTCTTCCTTCCCCATCCCGATCCTCCCCCCCTCCTTTCCGTCGTCGTCCTCCTCCTCGAGAACTAATGCGAACAAGCCCGCCGCAGGCGCCGATTTGCGTGCTCTGACAAATTCAGCACGGGGGGGATCGCTGGTGGGCCACCCGGAACGAATGCAAAAACAGCCCGCCGCAGGCGCCGAATTTTTGGCTTGTTCAGTGAACGTAGTTCGGGTCGCGGGTGGGTCGCGGGCTCTCCACCTCCACCTGGAAGGGATTCGAAAACAGCCCGCCGCAGGCGCCGAAAATTTTGATTTGTACACTGAACGCGGTTTGGGTCGCAGGTTCTCCACCTGGAACGAATGCAAAAGAAAACCACCGCAGGCGCCGAACATTTTGGGTGGGTCGCGGAGTGGGTCGGGGGTGGGTCGCGGGTGGGTCGCGGTGGGTCGCGGGTGGGTCGCGGGTGGGTCGCGGGTGGGTCGCTGGGTGGGTCGCGGGTGGGTCGTGGGTGGGTCTCGCGGATGGGTCGCCGGGGGGGGTCGTGGGGTGGGTCGCGGGTGGGTCGCGGGGTGGGTCGCGGGTGGGTCGCGGGGTGGGTCGCGGGTGGGTCGCGGGTGGGTCGCGGGATGGGTCGCGGGTGGGTCGCGGAGCGGGTCGCGGGTGGGACGACGACAACAACAAACAACAAACAACAAACAACAAACAACAAACAACAAACAACAAACAACAAACAACAAACAACAAACAACAACACCAACAACAACAACGATAATCCGCATCGCCGAGTTCCAGTTCAGCCACGCACTCAGGGACAGTGAATGACCGTTCGGTTCAGCCCCCTCACTCTGACCAGTCAATTGGTTTAGGAGCCCAGAACAACCTTCAGTCCTCGCAACCGCGTGGTCGGCGCGATCTTATCTTGTCAGCACGTTGTGATCTGTCATGACTTGCAACGATTGCCCTGACGATGTGAACTCATGTCTGCCAGCGTCGCCAGGCATGATGCTGCCATACTGGTCAGACCAGCGCGTGCTCACGGAGGAGGCCCCGCATCCTGGAGACGATTCTCCAAGCCACCCGCTGAACGTTTTTGCGCTGCTGCGCAAGGCTTCGGGTAGCTGACCTCCTCGGTGCCGTGTGTGTCTAGCCGCGTAGAGAAAGGCGCCTCGCGCAGTACCTGGCCGTGCTCTGCTCCCTCATCGGCGTCTCGCCTCTCGCGCGGTGGAGTCACCGCTGGGCGTGAAGCCACATGAGCTTCCTGGTGGATTTCCTCTGCGTGTGGGCACCGCTTTCACTCTTGGTGGCGTCTTTGTCAGTTTCTGGAGAGCGTGTGGGGGTGCGCGCCTTGCGGCACACACGCACGACACACAAACACACAACACACATACACAAACACAAAACACGCACACACACACACACCACAACACACAGCACATATACAAACAAACGCACACAACCACGCACACACAACACACAGGGCACAACACAACACGCAACACGCAACACACAGCACACAACACAACACACAGGCGCAACACACACAGACAGACACACAGACACAGACACACACACAGACACACACAGACACACACACACAGACACTCACAGACACACAGACACACACAAACACACACATACACACAGACCCATCAAAACACAGACACACAGACACACAGACACACAGACACGCAGACACGCAGGCACACAGACACACAGACACAGACACATAGGCACAGGCACACAGACACACAGACACACAGACACAACGACACAGACACACAGACATACAGACACACAGACACGCAGACACACTGACACACAGACACAGACACACAGACACACAGACACACAGACACACAGACATACAGACACGCAGACACGCAGACACAGACACACAGACACACAGACACACAGACACACATACACACAGTCACACAGACACACAGACACACAGACACACAGACACACACAGACACACAGACACACAGACACGCAGACACACACACACAAACATCCGTAGCAATTTTGGCTCAAGGCAATGCCGTTCCCGACGACGGAGAGTCGGAGAGGGCGGCTTGAGCGCGAGGGGTCGTGCTTTGAACCAGCATGTCTCGACCGTCTCGCTGTTATCAAGATAGCAACTTTCAGTTTCTTCTTGGTCTGCGTGGCCGTCGTTTGCTTTGCTCCTGAGTGTGGGACATTCCGTGTGAGAGGAGCTTCTTGGCGCATGACGTCGGCGCAGATGCTCTGGCAGTTGAAATGGTCTCCGATTCGTTCGAAGAAGGGAGCAGCAGAGATCGATGGCCTCATCACGTCCTTGGCTGCAGTCCGTCCCACTACGAGCAGGTTCTCCAATGCTATGAAGCTGAACGTGAGTCTCTCCGTGGCACAATCTTCCAGGCCAAACCTGATGGTGTCAAGGTTTAAGGAAAGTGGACAGCGCATCGCCAAGCTTGAAGTCCAGATGCAACGCTGGCAAGACGCCCAGGAGGCAAAGCGCCAGAATACTGCTAAACTCCAGAAGGAACTCGAAGGAGGCGAGCAGCGCGTCGTGTCCGCGGGTGCCAGCCTCTTGTGCCCCAGGCGAAGATAGCCAAGCATCTGCGCAGCCACCTCCGCATAGGGGGCCGCCTGCGGGGCCTCCTGCCACTGGGGGCGCTGCTGACGGTCGTGGGACCTTTTTGATATGGCCCAAGCCTCGAGCAGATGGGGCTGGCCACAGGCCTTCAGCAGAAGGCGCATGGTGCGGCGTGGGAGCTCGAGGCCGATGGTGCCAAGATCCAGGGGGCCAAGCGTCTCCAGGCCGAGCAGGAGCAGGTTGGCTCGCCAGGCTGAAGAAGAGGCCGGCGCTGCTCAAGCAGCCCAGAAGAGATTCGAGGCCAGCGAGGCTACCCTCGACGAGGCTCTCAACGCCGCTTCGGCAGAGGAGCTGAGCGCGTACCTCGAGCAGTGTGGCACCGATGGTGATGCTGAACTTCATGCCGCTGTTCAGCGGATGCATGCAGCGCCAACTTGGCAGGAGGCCATGCGCCTCAGGGCACAGTGATCTGGTCGACGTCATGATGGTGCCATACTCAGAACCACAACCAGCTGGGGAGCCCAGCGCGACGGCAGGGAAGTTCGTACCAGGCTTCCTCGGCCATCGGTCCACATCCCTGAAGGTGATTAGTGGCTTGAGTGTCACGACGAGCACGTTTGTTCTCCTGCTATGCAGTTCCCGCCGCGATGGGGTGGCCGTTGCCCTCGCGCGCGATGTTCCTCCTGGCGGCCATGTTTTGCAGCGGCGCTCGCCCCGTCGCCCTCCCTGTAAGTCCGAGCGGAGCCCGCCGCGGTGGGGTGGTCGTTGCCCTCGCACGTGACGGTCCTCCTGGCGGCATGGTGAGGAGCTGCGGCGCTCGCCCCGTCGCCCTCCCTGCAAGGCCGAGCGAGGCCCGCAGCGGTGGGGTGGCCGATGCCCTCGCGCGTGAAGACCATCCTGGCGGTCTGGTGAGGTGTAGCGACGCTCGCCCCGCCGCCCTCCCCTTATTCCCGACTGGCAATGCCCGCGGCGGTGGAGCGGCCAATGCCCCTGCCCACGAATATCCTCCTCGTGGTATGGGGGCAGCGCGACGCTCGCCGTGTCGACCCTCGTGTGAGCCCTGAGCCCGGGGCCTGCCCGTGGTGTGCCTGAGCTCGAACGCGCGGCAGAGTGAGACGGGGGGCCCCTTGCAGGCGCTGGCCTTGAGGGGCCCGTTGCCCGAGGCGAGGGCCCTGGCCGCGTTGCGGCGTGCCGTCGGCAGGAGAGATGCTTCAGAAGGAAATGCGTCGCTGCGCCCAGAACTGGACCGGGGGTCCGCGCGATGAGCAGCAGACTGAGCAGCCGGTCTGTGATGGCTGGATGGAGTGGTGCGTGGCATGCGCCGCAGGGCAGCTTCGCGATCCCGCGTGCGCATCGCTGTGGGAGGGGGCGGGATGGTGGCGAGAAGGTGGTGACCTCCCTCGTAATGCGCGCAGGTGGCACCGCGCTCGTGGGATGTGCGAGGTCGCCTGGCGTGCAGGTGTTCGAGGACGGCGGCGCTATCGATGGCACCTTCGGAGGCTGCGGGGAAGCTCCGAGGCCGACTGCGCAGAAGCCGTGGACATGTACTTGCGCGCGTTCGGGCAGCATCGGGCATGGATGGGCCAGCGCTCAGGAGATCGTGCTGGGCGGGCCCCTGCGCCTCGGCCACTGGATGCAGCGTGGGGCATGGTGCTCCACGGCCTGAAATGCATGCGACGCGTCAAGGGCTTGGCCACTTCGCCAGTGACCAACTTCGATGGTGAGATTGGCCGCTTCGCTGGCCTCGACGCCCAGCTGGGTGGCCCGGGGGCTCTCGACCTGCGATTCGGTGGCCCGCGCGGGCCTGTTAACGGCGAGGCCCGTGCAAGTGATGGCCCAGCAGGGCGCGAGGCTGTGCTGGCTGATCGGCCTGAGGATCCTGTCGTGGAAGAAGATCGCCAAGTACTTGGTCGCCTGCACGGCTGACGTCGTTATTGCGCAGGAGGTTCACGCTTTGGGGCCCGGGCTGCGCGAAGTCCAAGGTGGCGCGGTGGATGTTGGATGGGGGGGCCAGCGGTTCGAGGCGACCCCAACCGCGGCAGGCTGATCAGAAGGTGGGCTTGCCGTGTTTGCTCGGACCTGCGCCCAGATCACCCGAGCCCCCTTCCTGGGGCGCGGGGTGGTCTACGCTGGACGCATCGGGTCGGCTTTAGTGCATGCTGGGCAGCGTGGTTGTATTGTCATGGTCTCGGTCTACATGTGCGCGGGTGATGGCCGCGCGCCTCGGAACCTTGCCCTAGTGTGGGAGGTGTGCAAGTGCGTTCGCCGCGTGGCGGCAGCAGGCTTTGCCCGGCTCGTGGCAGGTGACTTCAACGTGCCACCCGAGGAGCTGTTCGAGCACGATGGGCCCCGCATGGTCAGCGGACGGTGCTGCGCTCCCACCGCTTCGAGGTGCTTGCAAGCTGCGCTGGGCGCCTCGATCGACTACTTTATCCTGCGTTGCTCGTTAGTCGATGATGTACTGTTTCAGATCAATGTGCAGAACAATGCTACGACGTGGCCGCATCAGCCCGTCCTTCCCCGCCTGCCCTGGGATAGGCTACAGCTGCAGAAGCGCGAGCTGCAGCAGCCGAGGGGTTCCCCCAAGTTGCGAGGCTTGGATGCGCGAGGTTTCCTGTTAATTGGCCCCTTTCTTCCTTTGCATTTGGGCTGCGCACTCGTTGGAGGACCTGGCGAAGCCCTGGGGCCTCCTGCTTTCTGGCATTGAAGAAGAGCTGGCCAACCGCCATGACCTGATTGGCATCCGTAAGAATGGCTACGTAGGTAGTGCTGGGGTACCAGTTCTGCGGGGCAGGCCTGTGGCGTGGGCCCTTGCTCGACGACGCGCGCGGCGTGGGCGTGGCGCGACAGCGTGGGCTGCGGCGGCGGGATGCATGCCATAACAGAGTTGCAGATGCGAGTGCCGACCCGTCGGATGGGATAAGTCGCAAGCGCGTCCGCACCATCTGGGTGCTTTCTACAGGGCGCGCAGGTCTGCCAGCAGCGGCGCCTGAAGCAGCAACGCCTGCTGCATCGGCTAGACGAGGAGGCGCAGCTTTCCTTCCACAGCGGTGTCGCGGGCTTGGGCAAGCCAGACTTCCAGCGGCAGGCGCAGCGGATCATCGACGGGAGCAGCGCGAGGACGGCCATTGCAGAAGCCCGGTGCGCTCAAGCCTGGCAGGACTGGGCCAAGAGCAGTTTCGGCGGCGGTGCAGGCCGTGCGCGTCGCTTCACCAAGGAGCGCAGCCCAGATGAGGTGCCGCCAGCCCACGAGACGGGGCAGCCCTGCGAGCTGGCTGATCGCGAGCTTGGGCAGTGCACGAAGATCTGGCAACATCGTGGGCTAGGGGGGCCTACTTTCCCTCCAGATGCGCATGCGTGGCCGCAGCTTGGGCCGATCACGGTTGACGGACTAAGAAAGGTGTTCTTGGCGTTCCCTGAGAGGTCTGCTGTGGACCAGTCGGGCCTCCGCCCTCAGCAGCTCATTCACTTGTCCGACCAAGCAATGCTGGCCATGTCGCTCATGTTCGCAGCGTGCGAGGACGAACTGGGCTTACCACCCGCGAGACTGGTCACGCTTCTAGTCCGCCTCCAAAAACCAGATGGAGCCACCGGGCTAATTGGTCTCCTCAGCCCGATC